GGCTTTACAGAGATAATAATTAGGTAAAGACTAACTACAGATCAACTTCAGGGAGGAGACAGAATCTCAGGTACATATTTGTTTGACTTCCTTCTTTTTTTTTCCTCCAATATTTTCTGATTGTTTTTTTCCCGTGGTCCACAGTTGCAAAACAACATAGATGAAAACAATTCCAGTTTCATATGACCGGTGACAAATATTGCCGTCTAAGATTTTAGCTATTGAGAATTTGAAAGCTGCAGATGTATTTGTCCTGTCAATACGTACAACCAACTATGCCCTCTTCGACAGAGAGAGTCTCTATCCTTCCACTGGCTTCTGATTCCATTGTTACTAAAGATTATTGCAAGCAAGTGTGGATTAAATTAGTTGGTATTGATAAGCATGTCCCCAGTTGGTGGTGATTTCTCACACTAAACCTGTTTCTCTTTATGCAGCGCGATAGTTCGGTAAATAGCGAATAGAAGGTTATTGTTAAGAATGAGATCGAAAGAGGTGGAAAACGTTAATGGTTGAATGTTGATCTTGAGAGAGCCATGAGACTCTAGCCTAAGATTACATAATTGGGATTGGAGCCAACCTCAGCAGGTTATATCTGGTGATCAACCTTGAACGTGATAATGGATCACTTTCTAGAGTATAGCTTCTACATGTGACGATTTTCTAGGATACAAAGATTTCATTGTGTGATCAATGCATTGAGTTTGATTAAACATTCATGATGTTGACTATGAAATATATTCATCTATTTAATTGTAGATTAGGCGTGACTATGTAGTTGACGTGAAGGGATACTTGAGCAAAGAGAGAGGACTACAGGAGCTTGAGCTTGATGGTTCGGTTCTTAACCAAAAGTTTATAAAGATTGTTGAAGGCTCACCTAAATCCACTCTTAGTAGGTTCTCTTGGAAAGAGGAAGAAGTGGTTAAAAAAGAAGAGTAATCTATTTTCCCTTTCTCTTTTATGTCTTTTCATAACTATCTTTATGTTTGTTAAAAGAAATTCACTCTTAGTATGATTGTTGAAGTGATACATTATAAGAAGAGTGAAGAAGAGAAGTGCACATGTTTGTTAGTAGTATAAATAGAAGCAAAGAGAGAAAGGGAGAGGTGATCGATAGTTTTAGGTATTTGGGAACAAACATATGTGTTTGTTATAGAGATACATTGTAATCTCTCTCTGGATCTGGAACAATTGGTGTTATATTCCTTGATAATCAATACAGGTTGAGTTTCCATAGCTTTGAACTTATCAAAGATGGTGGACGCATGGAAGTCATGATGTAAAAGTAAATATTGTTTGTTCTTGATCTTTGTCATCGAACTTATAATATAAGTCTTAAGGGATTCAAATTTCCTGTTCAAAGTCTTAGAAGACAAAAACTTGGAGTAAAAGATTATCTTAGATGGGATTTAGAAACACCAAAATCTTTAGTAACAATAACAATCGTCAAGGTTAATGCTTATAATTGTACTAAACTTGAATATTGATTGCAAACTCATAAATGAGAGTAAGTAACTTGTACATGTTCTTTTGGTAAAGATGGCATGAATCTAAAGACTCGTGGTTGCAGTTCAATTTGCCTTAAATATGAAACCTTAAGTCCATAAAAATAAAAATCTAAATATATATCAAATTCTTTTGGGCATTGAAAATAGAAATAAGTTTTAATTCTAATAACTTTAGTTTTGTCT